ATTTAATTTAGATTTATACCCCCCTCCCGCCCCCCCGTCATTCGCCAAACATAAATCGAATGTTTCAAAATGAAACGTCGGTATTGCCTATAAATACTTTTGATACGAATATACAAACACGCAGCAGTAGGACAAATAACAAGAATCATACGCAAACATATACAGCCTCTGGATTTGCCGTCGCAATCATATTTAACGTGAATGATTAAACGTGTTAGGGAAATAGGAATAAGGACGAAACCAATTGGATTGGAATTACAGACGAACAGGAGGTAATCCGCTCGCGTAGCTTACTTACTTTTGGCTGTTGCTCGCGTTGAGTCACATGCGACGTGCGACGAAGGAGACACAAAATTTGTGAGACGGGTTATTTGACTTTTTTTTTCGTTTTTTGGAGACAAGGGATCAGACGTCACAGACACACAGGGGATCCGAAGACGGCACAGTGCAACGAGGTCAACCTCGACAGCGACGAGGACGACGATTATAATCACATAAATTAAAACACAGGAAGGCCACTGAATTTCGCGCGTAGTTCGTATTCTTCGACAACACTACCTTCTCGAAATTCCTTAGCTCCCTCTTCCTGGTCCAGCCAAGCGCGACGACGATCCCGACGGAGAGTCGATGATTCCGATGCACCCTCGCCGTCTGGTCACTTCGTAGAATCGGCAGCTTCCACGAGGATTTTCGAAGACTGTCAACAGTCCCGAACGACTGGCTGTCGATTTTGCACTATACTCCCGCGGGAGGTCACTTCGATTTTACGTTGAGTTTGAAAAATTCATGTAGCAGACTACTCTTCGTTCACTTAGGACTTAGCCTGTCGACGATATCTCTCTCCAAGATCCTGATCACTCGTAGCTTGAACCTGCACGAGGAGAGAGCCAAACGATTCGCGCACAATACATTGTCCAGGAGTCGCAGCGGGCTGCGATAAAGGTGTCGCGATAAAGGAAGCACCGAAAGAGCTCTACGATGAAAGCTCTTTTAGGATAAAGCGTAAAGCTTGCCGCTTTTATAAGTGCCGGGAAGGCTGAGAGAAGTGTTAGGAGGGCCACAAGGGTTAGGACGGCGACGGTGGCGGCGACCGTCGCGACGGTCGCGTGCTATCGATTCCGTGCCGCTAAGCCGTCCTCGAGCTTTTCCCCGGCTGATCTCGATTCTCCGAGTTCACTGGCTTCGCGAGCTTCCACGGCTTCCTCGAGTTTTCCGAGCTTTCACATACTAGGTACCACCGCGCATAAGACGTCGTGACTCCGCGGCAAACATGCTCCGACTGGCTGGCTCGTCACGACCTGCAGACTCTTGGCAACGGTCACGCAAGCTGATAAGGAATAATTTTATTATCGAATCGGCGATGCAGGTCGATATGTCAAGTATTGTGCGTCGACTATGAGCATTCCGAGCAACGAAGACACGAGGGCTCGGTTCTCGAGTGAGCCCTTCGAGAGCTCGGGCGGGACTCGGGAAGACTCGGGCGAGAAGGTACGCGCGCGTTTCGCTTGGACGTCCGGGTCGGACTGAACGTCGAGCGTTGGGACGCTCGTTCGCTCACCCAACGTCGAGCTACCGGCACCCCCCACCCGGCGGAGCCACGCTTCAGCTTTCCTCTCCTGCGACCGTCGCCTATCACCTTTCGCCCTTTCCTGCGCCCTTAAGCCCTATTCACAACGCTAGGTATACCTGTGTGTCTATCTAACTGACTAGCTGTCTATATATCGTCTCTTTCTCCGCCGCCTCACCCGTCACTACCCATAGTGCACCATTTCTATCAGCGTCCCGTGCCTCGGCGACCACGTCCCTGTCAACGTCAACGACGAAGTCCGTGCGTGCACATTATCGTTCTCCTAGGCACAAGAGCTTACACGATCCAGGAGAGCTTTAACGCGATGCCCTCTCAGTTTGAGCCAGCGTCGTCTGGTTGGCCGGAGCGAAGATCGAAACGTAAAATTTTCCATCGAAATGGTAAAGGCTGAGAACAGTGTCCATCGGTTAAGTATTGTCACACGGAGTGAACTAAGGACTCGGCGCTTGACGGCAGGATAAGGGACAAGAGGAATCCCGCGGGCGTAACAGTGCGGTTGGCTTTTCCGTGTCATTCGCCAAGATTGAAAACACAGAATTACTTGTTGGGGTTTCGCACGAGGGGCTAAAAAATGGTAATCCGATCGTTTTCCCGGTACAGCGTAGCTTTCTCCGCGATTCCTGAGAAAACCCACTCTAAACCAGCCCCCACGGCTCTGCAGCTCTCGAGGAACGGCTCCGCTGCCTTTTTATCCGTTCGCCAAAAGAATTCGGTGAAAGGGCCGCGTTGCGAGGACTTATATTTCACGCACTTTTTAGGCGAACAGCTTTCAATACTTCCATCTTCCCTCTCTCTCTCTCTCTCTCTCGCGCTCTTACTTCGTTTCTTTACCTTTCTCCATCCTCGCCTGATTTTGGCCTCCTTGGCCGCGTAGGAACTTGCCAAATTTACGAGGGTTCCCCATAAGGGCGTACTGCCAACCTATACCTGTTTCTTCGGTCGGCTCGCGTCACTGCCAACTTTTCACCGAGGATCCTTCGGAGACCATTCACCTATTTCATTTCTCTCTTCGCATTCTCATTGACGTCCTCCGTTCCTATGCTCTCTTTTCCCTTTACGATAGATCTCTATATGTATACATATAACATATATAGAAACAGGGAGACCCGATAACTATTTTAATTCGTGAGTGTTGGCGGCACTGGGATAACGCCGGCTCGTGAGTATAAATGAAATATCGGCCCCTCGTCGCTATCCAGAAAGGATGAAGAAGGCGAGAGAACGGCGAAGCAGGAAAGGAAAAGGACGACAAGGACCAAAGGGATTTCCGTCGTCCTGCCGCGCACGGAATACCGATAATAACCTAGGATATCCGATGGATACGAAGTCAAATGCTGTTACTGCTTGCCCGTGTCTCTCATCGGTACCTCCCAAACTGCAAATCAAAGTTCCTATAACGGCAACAATTTCTCCCGACACAAGGACAGACTCCCTAGGGAATTTCCTCGGGTCACATAAACACTAGATATACGAGCAGGCCGCATCTTTCCACTGCTTCGCTTTAATAAAAAAAAAAATTTTTTAATAAAAATTCCCTTACAACCACATACGATTGAAAAGAAATTTTTTGAAATTTTAATTAATCCCTAAATAACAATTACGTAATAAAACACTAGATTCTTTATTATACTAATAATTATCCTAAAGAAATTTACATTGAACGTCGCATAGCAAATGTACGTGGACATATTATATACGTACATACTTGGTGCGCATAAGGTACAAAGAGCAACGCACCCAGCATCCATTTCTATGGAGCCTAACATCTTCTCTGCATTTCGTAACTGCCAGGGTAGGTGAGACGGGATCAGGAGCGAATCATTCCCTAGGGATGCATTATACATGGTACGGACGTATCGCATCGTCCTTTGCCCAGAATCCCGTATAGGTAACAACACGTACTCGACTCCAAAGATCCTGGGACCAGTAACACCCCACAATTCCTTGGTTCCCGGATACTCCTCCCGAATCTCATGTTCAGTCTTTCCCACGTGCCGTTTGAAGATTGATAAATAATATTATTTCCTTCACCCTTCTCCGCCTCTACCCCCCCCCCCCCCTCCCCC